AAAATGCGGGCTTTGGGATCAGACACCAGCTCTGCTAGTCTGCTTCTAGACTGTGAGCTTCAGGGTTCTTTTTTGTACGGCGAGCGTGGCCGCAGGTCACACAGAAGGAAGAACTAAGTAACAACAAAGCCTGCAAGCAGGGCCTGGCTCGCCGTCAGTGCTGGGAGCAGCGGAGGGCGGGGGCCGGTCTACAGAGCAGGCGTGTGAGGCACTCGCTGTGTGGCAGTGCTGCCCACTCCGCCCCGTCACGACCGAGGGATGCGCAGCCCGTGGTGTCGTGAACACATCTGACGCACGAGGCAGCTGTGGGATCAGTACGTTAGGGACGAGAGGGCTGTGTAACGACTGCTGAGCTCACAGGGCAGGTGAGCGGCGGGGCGGGGCAGAATGCACGCTCAGGAGCTCCAGGCGAGGCAGGGTCAGCACCGCTGTTCTCGCTCTCCTGCATCTCCCCGACCCCTCACATGTTAACCTCCACATTATTCCTAACTTAGAAGCCCACGGAATATGGGTATCACAAGAAAGTTTCACTTGAAAAAGAGCAACTGAATATTTTTAACAAAAAAGATTAGGAATTGGTGACAATAGAAATTTAAAATTAATTAAAGTTAATTAAAATATTTCAGGGAACAACGATTCGATTTAAAAACATAAGGAGCTCGGCATGGTGGTGCACACCTGCAATCCCAGCACTCTGGGAGGCTGAGACAGAAGGATCACAAGTTCAAGCCCAGCTAGGGCAATGTAGTGAGACCCTGTCTTATAATACATAATAATAAATAATAACAATAATGATAATAATTTAAAAAGTGGCTGATGATGTCGCTCAGTGTGAAGGCCCTGCGTTCAATTTCCAGTTCCACCAACAACAAAAGACCCATTAGAAAATTTTGTAGGCACTGAAATTAGACGTTTAAACAGTATTTTTAAAAATGTAACTCCGTTTTCTTTTAATAGACTCATGTTATGAGAAAATTCGGATTTGATAATTAGGGCATATGAAAACAGAGAACATTATTAATCGCTGACATGCAAGCTGGACAACAGTGTGGGACGGCAGACGGGCTTCTAAACCAGGTTGTCCTTCAGAACTGGCCGTCGCACCCTCGTGTGCCGCGGGGGGAGCCGGACAGCCCCCAGATTGGGTGCAGACTGCCCACCGCTGCCCGTGACTGCGGGGTGCGGGATTCTCCGTGGGGGATCATTCTCACTGAGCGAGTGAGCTCACCCCGATCGCTGCGCCAGAGTCCACTCAGCGCCACAGCCCCCTCCACACCCGCTGGGACAGCGGGGCACTGCCGTGGGCACCCTCTGCGCGAGCCTCCTGACTGTCCTCCGTGGAGGGCACGCAGGCAGGGCTCTCTGGAGGGGCTCTCCGGGGTCGATGCCTGGGTCGCAGCCGCCGTACCACGTGCCCAGAGTGGGGGACACTCGGAGCCTTGGCCCTGCACACGAGCCAGGCCCTCTGCTCAGAGCCGTCTCCCTCGCTCTCAGGCTGGGGCCTGGGTCTGCGTCCTGCTTTCTTTCCCTGACCACAGGCAATCTGTAAATGAACTGTGTGGCTGTCTTCCCATAAAACACTATTTACAAAAACAGGCAGAAGGCAGGATACAAAATCAGCACACGTTTTGTGTGATCTACAGCATCGTTGTACACAAATAATGAACTGATCAGAAACAAAAACAATTCTAAACCGGGGATGGTGGCACACGCCTGTAATCTCAGCACTCAGGAGGCTGCCATGAGTTGGAGGCCAGCCTGGGCTGAAAAATGAGTTCAAGGCCATCCTGAACTATGTAGTAAGATCTTGTCTCAATCATCCTGAGGTCAAGACCAGCATGGGCTACAAAGTGAGTTCAAGACCAGCCTAAACTGCAGAGGGAGACCCGTTTCAAAAAACAAAAACATCAACAACAAAAAAGAAAGAATTCCATCCACAATAGCTTCAAAAATGAAATTAAATACCTAATACCTAGGAATCAACCTAACCAAGGAGGTAAAAGACCTCTATAATGAAAATTACAGAAATCTAAAGAAATCAGAGAACATTAGTAAACAGACACCCTTTTCTCTCTGGATTGGAAGAACTGCCATTCTGAAAAAGGCTATAGTAGTAAAGCAATCTATAGATTTAATGCAATCTCTACTAAAGTACCCACACCAACCTGGGTGTGGTGGTGTACAACTGTAATCCCAGAACTCGGGATGCTGAGGCAGGAGGACTGCCATGAGTTGGAGGCCAGCCTGGGCTGAAAAATGAGTTCAAGGCCATCCTGAACTATGTAGTAAGATCTTGTCTCAAAAAATAAAAATAAAATACCAACACCATTATTTACAGAAACAGAAGAAACCATCCTAAAATTCATATGGAATCAGACAAGGCCCAGGGCAGCCAAAGCAATCCTGAGCAAAGAAATCAAAGCTGGAGGCAGTTCAATACCAGATTTCAAGTTACACTGCAAAGCCACAGTCATAAAAACAGCATGGCACCAGTGCAAAAGGAAACCTGTGAGCCACAGAATAAAACAGAGGACAAGATACAACCCATGCATGAATAGCCATCTGAGTTTTGACAAAGGGGCTGCAAATACATGTGGAGAAAAAGCAGCCTCTTCACCAAATGGTGCATGGCAACCGGCCATATAGCTGCCGGAAGAGGGTTAAGGCTAGACCTCTGTCTCATGCCATCTATTAAAATCAAATCCAAATGAATCAAAGACCTTCATATAAAACCAGACACTTTGAAACTGCCAGAAGATAACATAGGGCAACACTTGAAATCACAGGCACAGGGAGATTCCTCGAGAGAGCTCTGACGGCTCAGGTATTAATATCAAGAATCAGCACACAGGACCACCTCAAACTAAAAAGCTCCTGCACAGCACAGGAAAAGAGCCGCAGAGTGAAGAGACAGCCAGCGGAACCAAGCAAACTTGCCAGCCACTCTCCCGACACAGAACTAACACCCAGAACACACAAAGACCTAAAACTCCTGGCAAACAAATGACCCACTCAAACATGGGCAGGAGCTGAACAGACTTACCTCAAAAGAGTAAGTACAGGAGGTGGTAAATCTCAGCCCAGACTGGTCAACTTAGTGAGAGGCTGTCTCAAAAAAGACAAGCAGAGCTGGGCAGCTCAGTGTGAAGGCCTGGAGGTTCAGGTGTTAGTACCACAGAAAGTGAAGGACAAAAGGCCAATAATTAGGTGAAAAAATGTTTCACATCTTTAACCACTAAGGAAATGGAAATCAAAGCTACTCTGAGAGTCCATCTTACCCCAGTGCAAATGGTGAGCACTGGGTACACACGCACACACACACACCAGATACAGGGGGAAAAAAGGAAAAAAGGGGATACAGCTCAGTGGCACAGTGCCTTCCGGGCAAGTGTGAGGTCCTGAGTTCGATTCCTGGCTCCTCCCCTGCAAAGGAACTCTAGGACACTGTTGGTGGGAATATACACTAGTAGAACTACTGTGGAAATCAGTAAGGAGATTTTTTTTAAAAAAACTAAAAATAGCAGTACCAGCTGACACAGTCCCAGCTCTCTGGGGATTTTCCCCAAAGGACCGAAGACAGCCCTCTCCAGTGCAGCACCCCCGCGCTCACAGCAGCACAAGTCACTGAAAGAGCTAAGCTCCCAGATGCCTGGCAACGGACAAATGGATAAAGACAAGACACTACTCACAATGGAGTACTACTCAGCTGTAAAGAAGAATGGGCCATGGCATTTGCAGTAAAATGGATGGACCTAGAGATCATCACGCTAAGAGAAACAAGCCAGGCTCCGGGAGCTCGATACTGCATGTTTCTCTCATTCGGGAAACCTACGACGTAAGTAAATTAATGAGCAATTAATAAGTAGTAACAAGTAAGGAGACTCTCGGAGATGGCGGCGGAGATCGGATGAAGCGGGAGGAGGAGGGGGCAAAAGGGGCTGACACGACTGAGACAGGCCACACGCGTGCAGCAGCGCCCACACGGCCCGCGGGCCTGCTCCGTGTCACCACGCTGCGGGGGCCAGTGCCCATGTACAGGAAGTTTCAGAAGGCGGCTGGGCCGTGTCCGCCCCGGCCCTACAGCGGCATTTCCACCCTCTTCCTCCTGGTAACGTATTATTTAATATAACCTGGGAGTGATTTCCCTCTCTCTTTTTTTTCTGAGATGGACTCGCTCTGCAGTTCAGGGCAGCCTTCAACTATGTAGCCCAGGATGACCTTGAATTTAAGACAGTTTTCCTGCCTCAGCCTCCTGAGTGTCTGGACAAGTAGTGATTTTCTTCCCCTTTTTTTCCTCCTCAGTTGAACCAAACCTTCACTTGCTGAACACAATGACATCCACAGTATTACTCCTGCAAACAGCCCTCACCGACAGGAAAAGCCAAGCCCTCCAGCCTTCCAGCAGAAGGCTGTCTGCCCTCCGCTGACCTCTGCCCCACTTTGTCGCAGGGGAGTCTAGGTTCTGGGTCGGGGCCTCTTCCCATTGGGTCAAAACTGTTCATTAGGCCCCAGCTCGCAATCGCTGTGGGGCCGCTTTTGGGCATGTGCTCCTGTGCAGTTTCCTTGCCGGTTTTCATCTAATCTCACCCACTTCCTTCTGAGTCTATCAAAGCTCACGCCTGCGGGCCTACGCCTGGACCCGAGCTCGTGCATTTCTGGAGAGTCCTGCGCCAGGCTTATGCTAAAATCTCTGTGAAAGGGCACCGACTCCCACGGTGATGGCTTCCTCCCTCAGGAGCTCAGCTGCTGGTGTTTAGCTCATTGTCGTGAAGGGAGTGATGGGTTTGAGACTCTGCCTTACCGAAATATCTATCTACGTGAAGGAGCTCCATGGCTTTCAGATAAAGTAGAAATTTACTGTCTCCAGGCCAAACATCCTGGAAGTTCTTTTGGTTCTAATTTTGAAGGAAATTAAAATCACACAGATACTTAGAGGCTCATGTCGTTCAAACAACACTCTGCCCACCCCAGCCACGCCCGGGCCTCGCTCTGTGACTCACCAGCGGGATGAGCAGGCCAGTGAGGGCAGCCAGAGGCTTGCCCAGCAGCAGCAGGTCTTCAGCCACCTGCGTGTCCCCTCCTGAGCCCGACTTCTGCGCCTGCGACAGGAAGAGAGTGAGGGGAGGTGGGGGTTAGTCCGCACGGCTGTGGGGCCAGCAGAGCAGAGTGAGGAAGCCACGGCCAGGGTCCCAGAGAGCAGGACGAGGGGCCATGGCAGGCAGCAGCTCAGCGAAGGGCGGACCAGGCGGGCTGCGGATGAGGCAGCAGCAGGCCGCGCTTGGGGAGCCGCCAGGGCCAGCATGTCCCCTTCCTGGGCAGCCCGGGCACTGGGAGTGCGACCTCTCAGAGCATGGGAAGCTGAGCCACGTATCTATAACCCCATGATAATGGGTGACCACACCAGGCTATATGACTGGACGTTTGCACACACGCCCAGCTGGCCCTGGAGTGTCTGCCCACGGCTGCTGCGCGAGCAGCTTTCTGATGCGTGTCCCCTTCCTGGGCATGCCGGCTGACACTGTGGGGAGACAGGAAGTGTGGAGAGGAGGAGACCTCAAGTGAACCACATCCCCAGGGTCACAGCAACACCACCCCGTGCAGAGGAGACAAGGCTGTGCGCTGCACACGCTGTGCTTGCGGCGGACGTGCACCTGTGCTGCACTCTCTGCTCCGGTCCACTTTCAGGTAAGGACCTCCGGACGACCTGAGCAGGCACAGCCTCGGGTCCTCAGCGGGACCCAGGTCTTCTTGGAAAAGCCAGTTTGCTCCTGGGCACCGAGCTGGGCCCGGCCACCGCCGCTGCTTTCTGAGGTTCAGACGGACCTCGCTGAACACCGGTCCTGGACACCCTGAGTCTCCAGCTCAGCAGAGCAGTGGCGCTCATCAGTGCAGGCCCATCTCCCGTGGGACCGCGCCTCTCCGCATCCTGGCTGCGGCTCCCTGGCCTTCTCAGCAGGTCTGGCACAGGGAAGGGGCTTTTCACACCCAACCAGAGCGGCCAGGACAGGCCCCCGTGAATCCAGGCCTCGCCACCTCCTCTCCTGCCCTCGGGAGCAGAACAAGCCCCGGGGCCTTTCCCTCCAGGTCATGGGGCGCCCAGGTCCGCCAAGGTCACAGCGGGAGGCAGGCTTCAGGCAGGCGTTAGAAATCCACTCCTCCCAGGGAACATCGGCCACGGGGGTGTGCTGTACAGCGAAGGGGCCTCAGGAGACACAGGCACCGGTCAGCTGTGCAGGGCCGGCTGCAGCTCCTCCAGTCTCCCCACTGAGCGTCGCCTCCCAGCTGGTCTGAGTGCCAGCTCTGTGCCCTCCGGGCGCACCCCACCCAGGGCTCCCGTCTCCAGGAGTCCAGCCCCAGCCTGCCCACCTGGGTCGGCCACCTTTGCCTTGTTATTCCATGCAGGCTGTAAACCAAGTGGTGCCATCCGTACCAGGGTGGGGCTTCCGTTATCCACACCCCGAAGCCCAGCACCACACACTTCATCCACACGCACACGCCCTCGCCAGCCACCTCTGAAGCTCCCCTCTGACCACATGAGGCTCTGGGGGTCAGCTAGATACAAGACATACCAGCAAGGCAGGACCACAAGGAGTCAGCACTGGTAACGGCGGGGACACTGAGGACAGAGGCCACAGTGCCAGCCACAGAGGGCTCTGTACACACGAGCGCGGGGCACGTCTCAGTCTCTGCCACCAAGGCGCCTGCCTGGCAGCGGCAGCTGAGCTGTCCTCTGTGAGGAGGGTAGGAGGCTGGGCTCCCCCAAAGCACCCCAGGGACGGCAGGCAGAGCCCAGCCCGCGGGACAGTGGGGTTATGACCCGTACCTGCCCTCCTGAGAAGCGCCCCACTCAGACTAGGCCCGGGCCGGACCCTCCACTGTGCAACGCCCTCTCTGCGCATGCGTTGCAGTTTTAGGTCTGTAACAAGAAGACCAGCTGCTTTATCTGCGTACTGACTGGAAGCGCCCTGAGAGCCGACACCCCCTCTGCATCTCTGGAAACTGCAGCTGCCCCGCCCTCGGCCAGGCTCCGAGGTACAAAGTGAAACAAGCCTGCCGGGAGCCCCGTGGTCCGCAGATGTGGACTGGGGGTTCCGCTTCCCACCAGGCCCAAGGACATCAGAGCCCACAGGAAGCCCCACATGAGCAGGCGAGCGCGCCTCTTCTCGTGCTGTCTATGACACGACGAGAAGTGCTGGCTGACTTCCTGGCCAGGGATATGTGGATCACCACACACGGTTCCCTCGCTCACTTGAGCCTTCCTCGACCCTGCTGTGTTGCTCTCGTATCTGCTCCACAGGTGACAGAATGGAGACCGCGACAGGTGAGGCGTCTCACCCAGGCCCGAGCCGGCGGGAAGCCGTGTGCCCGGGATCTCAGCGCCCGGCGCCCCAGCCTGTGAGTCCGGTGGCCCACACCAGCATCCAGGCACATTGTCTGTCTGCCTCGTCATCTTCCACACACAGCACAGGGTCACCTGGAGCCCACCTGGAACCCGGAGCAGCCGGCTGGCACTGGGCTAGTACCCCAGCCCCCAGCACGCACACCGGCCTGCACCACGCTCCTCCTGGAAAAGAGAGGGGCCTCAGAAACCTCCCGGCTGCTCTCTGTTCACGGCCTGGCTGCCTCGCAGGCTCCCACTTTAAGGAAGCTCCAACTTGAGGAGACGCCGGTGGGGCGCAGAGCGCTGTAGGAGTGTGCTGCAAAGACGCCGGTGCGGCGCAGGGCACTGTAGGAGTGTGCTGCAAAGCGCCCGCGGCTCGGTGTCGCGGCTGTATGGACGCGCACTCCACTCTTCCCCGGCGCAGCCCCAAGGGCTGCCGCTCTTACGGGGCACAGGGGCCACGGAGATCACGGTCGGCGGCCAGGGCCGCAGCAAGACAAGCAGGCCACAGGGAGACATCAGAGAAAGGACAGCAGGGAAATGCACATGGTATTGGGTAACAGGAGACAAAACAGTGGTCTATTGACACAATTGCAAAGTGAGAAAGAAAAATTAAACTGTTTTATATTAAGGAATTGTCTTTTAAATACCCCTGAATACCTACCTAATCACTTACAGTAAGAGAGGATTTCTACTGTTCTGGAGGTTTCTTGTTTTTAACAACTTCTGATACAGTCTTTAATCTACCACCTACGAGACATAACCTTCTAGACTTACCGCAAGGTACCTCAGGAAAGCAACTACCACCTACCGATAAAGAGCCCCACAGAGCACCACAGCAGAGACTGAGGTAAGAAGCAATACGCTCTGAAGGGAAGAAGAAAAGAGGAGAGACACCTACCTCGGGGTTCTGAAAGTATTTAACAGCGCTGCGCTACTGAGTGGAAATATCAGTGGGCAAACGACAGCTAGGAGATGCACTGTTAACCCGGGGGGTTGCAGCTTGGGCTGCACACTGGCGTGAACTAGAATATCGGGTGAGAGGACCAGCACTGCTGACTAAACCACGCCAGACAAGCCACATACCTGGCTGGCCGTCCCATGAGCACCAAGTGCCATTTGCCATGACAAGGCCCGGCGGAGACCGAGCAGGGCGCGGAGCTCACTCTCGGCCCGCTACTGCGCATCTCGGCACGGAATCAGCACGGCTCGCGTCGACTGCTGCACCTGCGTCCCTGCTGCGGGGATGCTCCCAGCTGGCACACATTCGCAGTCCAAAGGGCGTTAAGCACGACCCTGAGCGCATGTCAGCTGTGTGCCTTGCGCTGGCCTGAGTATCTGCTAGTGAGGGCGAGCAGGAAGTGAAGTGGGTGCGGAGGCGCCTCACCCACCAGGGCGCAGGGAGCCCATCTCCTGCCTTTCTCGGAGCGGGGGAGGAAGCGCAGGGCGAGCTGCGGGCGGCCGACTTGTCCTCACCACCGAGCACACCCTGCTCAAAAGCTTCACACGCTTCCGAGTGTGAGCCAGAGGGAAAGCAAGTGGGCACGTTTACATGGACATATGTACGTGTGTGTTGATAGGTACACAAACACACACACACACACACACACACACACACACACGTGCGCACTTCCCACTCCTGCTGAGGGAGGGCTGGGCGCCACTTCTGGGCCGCAAGTCTGCTCTGCTTGGTCACCCGCGGCGCACCTCGGGCAGGCCAGCCTGCCAGCCAGTGGTGAGGGGCTTTTGCTCAGGGAGCCTCCCCGCCTTCGCTCAGATTCCGCGACTGCACCTGTCCCTGAGGCTGGTCACCCAGACACTTTTAGTAGGCTGCAGGTACAGAACAATGCGTTCTTCTAAAAGGAACAGAGGTGCCACTGAGGACAACGGGAGGACGAGGGGGGACCGTGACCCGGGAGCCCCTCACCTGCAGAGCCAGCCGCACGACGTGGGACATGTAGGTCAGCATGCTGTGCAGGATGTCCAGCAGCGAGAACAGCAGGGTGGCGGCCAGCTCGGTGCTGTGCTTGCTGTCCACGTCCAAGCACAGCGAGGCAGCGGCAGTGAACAGGTTACAGACGTGCATCACGAGTCCTGGGGGGAAGAGCGGGGGACATGGTCACCATAAAGCCGTGGAAACCTGCACCGTGTGAGGCGGTGGGGTGGGCTCCGCGAAGCGCTCGGCCGTGCTCCGGAGTGTCGCACTCGAACGATGTTCCAGGTGCAGGCTTCCAGCTGCCGGCTCAGAGTGTGCTCAGGAACCTGGCACAGGCCCAGGAAGGAGAGGAAGAAGGGTCCCTGCGCTTTGGGGGGGACCCCACTCACCCTTCAGAAACAGGATCCTAGTGGGCAGGCTCCCCAGGGTCCAAGGACACCCTGCCTTTGAGGGGCCCGTGTGATACAGAAACCGAGGGTCCCCGACCCTCCTGGAAAGCAGTGCTCTTCCCCCTACCATCGACATTGAGGACCAGGTGGCCGCAAGGTCCACAAGCACCCGAGTAGTTTCTAGAGGCTGATGCAGTAAGATACCTCTCTCCTGCATTTCAGCAACCCAAGGTTATGATTTTTAAGACATTTAGAAATTGCTAGCTCCTATCATTTTGTCTGAAAATTCACATTAACAGCGCATTTGGTCTTCATCAGCTTTTAGTCCACACACAAATATCATCTGCCACAAAAATATATTTTCACATTTTGGGGCCATTACTGTTTACATTTAATTTCGCGGTTTCATGGTTACTATTATTTGGCACGGTCCTTTGAATGTGGAAAATGAATCGGCTCTAAGCATGATGAAATGAAATGACGTTCAAGGCCTAAATGATGAACAGGACCCTGGGCACCAGTGCAGTGGGGATCCAAACATTGTAAAAAAGAGTGCCTCTTTGGAGACAAGTATTTCACACCAGCAGAGTGGGGGAAGCATGGCAGAGGTGTGCAGTGAGTACGGGGAGCCGGGTTCCTCGGGACCTGCACCCCTTGTCCCGGCCGGGCAGGAGCGGGATGGGGACCAGCACACACAGCCCTGGAGCGCTGGTTCTTCTGCCACAGCGCACACTGCCGCTCCCAGCAAACCAACCTTGCTCTCCTGACGAGTGCAGGATATTCTTTTGACTACAGAAGTAACTGATTTTGTTGCAGAAGGCAGACATGGAAGGAAGCTAAAGAGGGGTTGTTCACAGCTCCCCTTCCTGTGGCAAAGGCCAGGATAAGTGGCACAACTGCCACTTAAAGAAATCTGAGTCAAGGCTGAAGATAAATATATTTGAGAAGGGAAAGCAGAATGCCTCACTGTCAAAGTTTCACTATCAAACGACAAGACCTGAAGGCACACACATCATCGAGGACCCACCGTGGGGGAAGGCGATTGTTCCGTAGGTGCAGCGTGCCCTAGGCACTGTCCCCTGGGGACAACACGTCACTCGCGTGCGCACTGGGGACTGGTGCATGGCTCCATGGCTGTGATGGAGCAGCAGGGCTGGGAAACACAGTCCTTCGTAAACATGCCATGAGTGACGAAGGCTCCCCCACAGCTCCTGATGGCTGTGCAGATGCTAAGTTCTGCAGGCGGCCAAGGAGGAGGACGTGGCGCTGGTGAAAGCAGTTCTGGGCGCAGAGCAGGACTCGGCCCATCTGAAGGCGCTGACCCCACAGCTGGCCGCGCACAGCCTGACCCAGAGTAAGCAGCCGGCAGCCAGCAGTGCTTCCTGGGACCCTCACTTGGCCTTCGAGGAGGGACAGCGAAGCATGCAGCCAAAGCCCTGCTGGAACTGGAAGTCACCCCTGTCCGCCAGGTGAGAAAAGGTGGCAACAGGTGCCAGACTGCACACGGAAGCCCCCAGGCCCAGGGGAGTGCGTGGATGGCGGGTGGGATGGCGCATCACAGATATTCCTCACCACGGTGACAACGCCCCAGGAAATGACTCCACTGGCCTCTTTCTGACAGGTTCATGTGTGCCTCAGAGCTGAAACACACATTTCAGGACCAAATGTACGTCTTTCAGGTCTAAACTCCAACGCAGCTCAGGAAAAGGAAGCCCTCTGCCCTTTCCCACAATTACAACATTCCATCAGTCGTTTTCTCCTTCTGTGTCTTTTTTCAAAGTATTTAAGGTGAAATCATACAACCTATTTCTCCTGGAGAGTCTTTAATGTCTAACAGATACTCTCTCTTAGCTACACTGCCATTACCACTTCCTAAAGTTAACTTATTTTCTAATGTTGCAGAACTCTGGTAGTGAATCGAAAGGAAGGTGCTCCACACCAGAGAGTCAGAGAGCAACTTCTATTATGCTAGCAGGTTGGTGGGAATCGGTTCCAAATCACCAGCCCAGAGTTAGCTTAGGGTTCGGTTTAATACATTTTGCAAGCAGGAAGTACAAGGCCGATAGCAGGTTATTATATAATTGGTTACATGAATTAAGCCATATGTTGTCAAGAAGATTTGTTTCAAGCAGTTTACTTACAAGGAATTGTTTATCATAAGACAAGAACACCCTGGGAGGGCGGGAGAAGGATTTGGATGGAGCAAGTAGAGTTAAATGCGTCCTTGCCTGGGCCAGTCTGTCCTAGACATGAAATCCTTGAAGCAAGTTGGGCATGTACATATATTTAGTAGGAAAACACAGACATCAGACATTACAGCTGACTGAGGTTGTAGTCTAACCTCAGGGTTAGACTAGGGTTAGGTTTAGGGTTAGGGGTTAGGGGTTAGGGGTTAGGGGTTAGGGGTTAGGGTTAGGGTTAGGGTTAGGGTTGACTGGGCCAGTCAAAGCTAACTGAGGTTAGCAGTCTAACCACGTGACAAGTAGCATGAGCATAGTCATAGGACTCTAACTGATTTTTAACTTCTATAAAATGCGTGTAAGTTTGCTATTCTATAATTTTGCCATTATACTAACATGTTCGACATATAGAATATGTTGAAAAGTCCACTTGTCTCAAAACTACCCTTTTCCCCCTCAGTTTACCTGAATCAGGACAGGGCCAGGCCTACACTTCCTATTTGTTGTGGACCCTGAGTGTCCTTTAAGCACCCTTCCCCCACTACAGCTAGTGCTGCCACCTGTTCTGGGAAAGATTAGAACATTTTCCTGCAGGTGTCCTCAGAGCACTGTTCCCATGTCCTCATGAGGTTTCCTAGAAAGTGTTCATTAGACCTAGAGACTGACTTGATGTGGTTCAATGCCTTTGGCAACAGCACTTGGTGTAGGCTCACTGTATGTCCCATTGCATCCTGCCTGGAAGGACAGACCATCTGTCTTAGCAACGCTAAAATTAATCCGTGCATTCAGGGTTTTCGGTCTAACCCATCCATCACAGAACGTCCCACCCAAAGTTTCCTGCTGCTGACCCTTGCGTAGTCCCATTATTTCATTAGCTATACCAACAGGCTGATCTTTAAGTTCTACTTTTTTCTGTTTGTTCTGAGCTTCTTTTCATCCACAAAGAACCCTCCTAAATCAGCTACTTGGTTCTCATAAAATACAGTTTTGGAAGTAAAACCAAGATCAATGTTTAATCTGTGCTACCCTTCTCCAGTCTCCAGGGCAATGACTGGGGGAATTAGCGACCACCACAGCAATGACCAAAGTGGGCAGGGTGGTACCACAAGGTACTAATACGTTCGTTTGCAGCATCATTTTAAAATAATGTATCTTATGGGACTTCATTCATTTCCACATTATCATCTGTATGCTCAACATTCCTGTCTTTGGCCATGGAGAGCCCCTTGATTCTGTTACAGTAACATGCCAAGTTCACCTGCCAGAAGACCTGCCGTAGGTGGGCACCAGCTACTTCTGCTAGGAGCCATGCGGTCTCGTTTTGCTTGCTTTTAATTAGCGGTGGGATGCATAGACCATGGTCTGAGAGCAAGAGCTGTGGGTTGGGTGGGGAGTTCTAAGAAGCAAACATCTCGGAAAGAGAAATCATGAGTTCATGAAATATTTCTATCCAAGTCCAGAAAAGGTCCCACAATATTAGCACCAAGTGAGTTTCAACAAGGTAATCCTCTAGAAAAAATAAATTCTTTCCAACACAAGGGGGGATTAAATAGCTGTCCATTCATATGAGAGCAAAAAAAGGAAATCTTTGGCTACTACATTCCATAATATACATAACTTAATTTCAGATAAATCACACATCTACATAGGGAAGCTAAAACTAGAAAGTTCTAGAAGAAATTTAAGGCATCTCTGTCACTAGGAGGCAGACAAGATTTCTTCAGACCTAAAAAAAATCCTACTTAAAAGTTGATAATCAAAAGCTAAAAGTTTTACAAATCAAAAGGCACTACTTTAAAATAAACTGGCAAGCCAAAGATGACGAGGAAACATTCACAACATATATATCAAACAAAGAATTTTCACACAGATTATATAGACAGTTCCTACAGTTCAGTAATAAAATGACAGAAAATCCAATTTTTAAAAATGAGTAAAAGATTTGAACAGTCAGTACATGAAAGAATTCAATATTATCAGTCCACAGAGAAATGAAAATTGAAGGTGCAATGAGATATCACTACACACGAACAGAAACAGTAATTTAAAAACAGCCATGAACAACAATATTGAACTTTGGTGACGTGGAGAGCCCAGAACTCACATGCACTGCTGATGACTCAGCACCTGGCTGGTTCTCTTTGTATAAATGTAAACACAAGGTTATCATGTTAGCTTCACTCCTAGGTGTTTATCCAAGCAAAATGAAAACTTGTCCACATAAAGTCTCATTAAAGTTTTATTTGAAATAGCCCCAAACTAAAAACAGCTCACATGTCCATCAACAGAAGTTAAAAATTGAAGTCTGATTATATTTCAGTGAGTAGTGACTACTACTTAGCAAGAAAAAGGAATGAACCACTGATTGACAACAGGTGTGCATCTCAGAAGATGCCAATAAAAAGCAGGCAGACTGTACAGGTACATCTATTTAAAACTTTAAAGGGAACTTGCTTCCGCTGACTGATCTCCGAACAGCAATTGCTCCTGGGATCAGAGAGGGACAGACCTTCTGGAGTGAGGGAGATGCTCAGAGCTCAGGGGGGAGTCAGGTGCAGGAAGGGGGCATTTTTCAAAACTAACTGAACT